GGATACCCTGTGCATATTTAGACTTATATATAGATAATTATATAATTATTATCAAAAGGATAATAAGTATTTTATCATTTTATATGATATTACGGTTAATAAAAGACACAAATTAATGGCTTAAGGTAATTAAATTTTTGAATTATTGACATTTGTAGAAGAACATTAATTAATATTTTCAATATTTTTAATCCGTAACAAAAACATCTGAGGTATCCGATAACTATATATACATACGTATATAGGACAATAATAATTTTATTATAAGAAAATTTTAATTATATTTTTATTTGCTCACATTATAATGAAAATTTTATTATTAATCTAAAGGTATAATTGAAATGCATTTTTATATTAAAAAATTGTTAATTAAATTCTTTGTCTCCTTCTTAGAAATGAAGATTTATCTGAGAATAACATATTATGGGATTTATCGGATATCGATCGGATTTATGGCATATAATGGTCAATATTCTTAAATTTTATTCAAAGAATCATAAATATAAATTTGATAAACAAAATAAAGATTTCAGAAAATCAAAAGAATTGCAATTTTTGGTACTATATGCGATTAGAAAAATATAAATAATCTGAGATTGTTTGGTACTTTCAACTGACCTTGCTGATCATGAGATAGATCAGTTGAATTTACTAAATTAATTCAACAAAATTTACCCGTACTTAAAATTTTCGTGAGATTATCTGGACCAGCAATTCTGAAATTATAAGATCTAATTCTATTATATAATTTCAGAATTGCTGGTCCTTATTATATAATCTAACTGAACAATAGGTAAACACAAATTCATATTTCAAAAAAATTTTTTCTACTTAAAATATGAACGACACATCCTTTATTTTAATACAACTTGATTATCTTACACAATACAAATACGCGTTAGTGTGTTTTCTGTACATTATTTTTCGTGTATACATTTTTTTCATTTCAAGGAATACTGCGTCATATATGTATCTATTTTCAGGAATAATATTCAAATTTTCGAAATATTTAGAGCATAAATTTTCTAATTATAATATTAACATAATATTAAAATAATTTTTTGCTCAACAGTCACTGATTAAAATACATTACGTCTTATATAGGATTGAATATGACGTCGGAAATATGATAATTTTTTTTACTGAGTTTTTCCTTTAAAGATATGAAATCTCGAATTTTTGTGATAAAAATTTCAATTTTGAATTTGAGGTATCTATTATATTTATGTCCACTACAATTTAATTGAATATGAAGAGAAATAGTGTGAATAAAAAAAAATAAATTGTGTTCAATAAATTGCGTTATGTTTAAATAATTTTGAGTTTATTGCAAAATTACGTAGACAAATACATAAAATTTGCACTATTTTGTATGTGAATATGGCTAATAATGTTAATAGAAAATGTGAATATTTAAGGAAATTTTAATATTGCTACATTCAACGCAGAAAAGAGTGAAAATTGCATTTTCCATAAAAAATTTTTTATTTACTTTGAAAATCTTTACTAGCATATGAAATTTTATCTTAGAACCACTACGTAGATATTATAATAATATGAACAAACATTTCGAGAACCGTTCTATTTTTTGAATACAATTTTAGTACTTTATTTATTAAGAATATCAACATTTATTTCTCTACATACATATACGCATGTATTAAAAGCTAACGTACATAGAGTAATAAAAAACCTATGGATAAGTAGGCTAATTTTACGCTACTTGTACATGTGGGCGATTATTGTGATAATAATGTTAAACCATAAAAGTGAATGTTATAAATATACGTATAGGTATGCAAATGTTATACACATATCCCTTAAGAGAAAGAAACCTTACAAAATTTTAATGTCCTAATTTTGATAATTTCTGAAATGCGTATAAGTAAATGTTTATGAAATTAAAATTGCAGTTGTATAACATTATAAAAATTGTATGAGAACAGTTAAAATAATAGAACCGTCGATCCAATTTTCTACATCAAAATTTTCTATTTCAGTATTCATCATAAATCATTACGCGGTTAAAATTCAGAAACATTTAGACAGATAGAAACCATAGTAAGTTTTATATTAGGTACAGATGTATGAATTAGTATGCACCCTCTTATGAGTTGACAAATTTATTTTACATTTTTTGTACCTTACTAACCACAAGTACCAATTTTTTCGAGTGTGAAAATATACGCAAATATTGCGAAAAATTTTAATTTTTCCTCCTTTTTTTTTGCATTTCAGTTATTTGAAAAGGATATGAGATTTGAAGTTGTATATATGAAGAAAAATTCAGGATAATTCAATATTCTTGTATTTGTTTAATCTAAAAGTAAAGTTTGTGGAAAAAAAAATTTATGTGGTGTGATTTTTCATGGAAAATTTTTTCTATTTTAAATTTTGGCAATTTTGGTTGGGTTTTTTTATAGTCAAAAATTTTTGGCTTTTAAATTAGGTACTTGAATTTCTTTTATACCTACTCACAGGCTATTATATTCGCCTCCAAATCTATGCAAAAATTTATTTTACTTAGTCCGATAAAAGATTGACGTAATTTGGATAACGCCAAATTGCATCACGTAAAGTCGATGTCAGCATAACTCAGATAAAAAATAAAAATTTATTTTTTTCTAATGGAAGTTTGACGTACAATAATATTTTTATACCTAAAAAAATTTCGAAAGTCAATCACGCGTTTGTTATCTTAAAAGCATTTTTTTTATTTAAAAAAAAAAAAATTCGCTTCCTTCTAATTTGAATAACGGCCTTTTATCTACAGTACGGTGTGTACTTTAGATGGTGTATCTAAATGTACACACGCATTAAATCTACAATGAAATTAAAAAACGTATATTGGAAATTAATTTATTGGGAGAGGTCATATGTCTGATGAGCTAACCATGAATTTATTTTTCATTCAGAATATGGCTTTTATTTAAATGAAAATAAATTCAAAAATATAAATTTTTTTATATAAAAATTTAAAGTTTCATGCACTGATCGGGATCAATTCGGGATCAGTCATAGTATGGTACATGACTGAAAATTTGAGCTACGTACTCCTTTATTTCCTCACGGAACCTTAAATTGTAGTCACTTGCAACCTATCTTTTTTCTCCGTCGTAGGAAACCGAGACCCTTAGGTTCTTCTCACGTCGATCGCACAATCTTTTGTGATTCCCATCCCCATTTACATTGCCCTGTATCTAGACTGCTGAAATCAATCACTCCCAGATACTTGACTTCTTTAGAGGATTCGATAATTGTGTCAACTAGGAACACCGGATGGAAACTAAATTTTCATCGTCTAGTAAATGGGACAATTACTGCCTTGCTAGGGTTAATTTCAAGACCCTCTGCTTGGGTCGTGTTCCGGATGTTGTTTCGAGCCCCTTGAACTCGTTCACCTGCGACGTCATCATACTGGCTCCTCACAGCAAAAACTATATCATCAGCGTAGCCTTGCACATTAAACAAGAGTTGGACAGCATGTGCAGTAGACCACTCATCACCATGTATCAAAGCCTCCTCGCATGCCCATCCGCTGCGGCAACTCCGCATATTTATACCAAATAAATCGATTTATACCAAATATGCTGCCTAAAATTTATGAAGTTGAATTTTGATTTTTTCATAAAATTTCTTAAAATAAGAAATTTTATCAAATTGATGGCTGCCAGCCACAAAATGAAAGAAAATTTAATTCAAAATCATTCCTTCTTTTCTACAAGAATATTCATTACAATATTTAATATTTTTTTTGTGTTACTATGACGTAAAAATTTCAAGCATAATTTTCGAAACCAATCTATACCTTGAAGCAATTTTATGTTAAAAATTTAGTTGAAGCAATGACGTTGAATTTTCTCATTTTGCCTTTAAAAATTTGAGAAAATTTTTTCAACAGAATTTTGTTGAAATATTAAACGGTAGAGAAAAAATGTGTTACTATATAAATATATGTATGTATATATAGAAATGTATGTATTTGTATCTGCTTACGTATTGTAAAGAGAAATATTATTAATTCAAGGTAAGATGAGAAATTGAAATGAATCTTATACAAGAATATTAATTATTGTGCGAGTTTCAATAAAATTAAATTATATAGAAATAGACCAAATATCTGTATATGTATGTTTTTCAATAATTAAATTTATCTACTGGAGCTACGTACATATATATAGATACATACATAAATTGTATTCTAAGACTCTTAGTAACATGAAACCAAATGAATAACTAATCAAAAAAAATTATACTATTCTTAAAAATTATGCTATTATTCGCAGGGTAAATACTACACGATACTACAAAATATTGAAATAAATTGAAACAGCGTTACTTTAAGACTACATCCCGAGGTCTGCTTCAAAATAATCTATAGGTAACTGACTTAGTATGTGACCATGCGTATGTTATGTAGTTGCATATTTCATCTAATTATTTTATGGTAAAAGTCAATAGTTTAAATAATTCTCAAAACCCCATACAATATGATTAAATTTAACACAGAAATTTAATTAATCACAACAGCCTGCTCTAAATCGAATGAAATCATGAAAATCTTTATTATAAAATTGTACACAATAGGATAAAAATTCCATCTTATCTTCTAACAGTTGATTCTTTCCAGATAAATTTTCTTAAAAATCTTAGAAATTTCCTTATTTTAATAGTGAATATGTTCTGTTGTTGCATTTTATATAATAAAATATCAAAAATTTAAAATAAAGTTTGATAAGGGTAAGAAAGAGAAAAAAAATACGTAAGCAAATAGTGTCATAAACTTATGTACTGGCATTGGCGTCAATATGGTGCTTCATTTATTTAAACTTCTAAGCTAAGTTTTCTTTTCAAATTTTTTTTTTTTTTGATTTTTTGTTTTCTTATTCTTATCTTTTTAAATGTTCATAAGTTGTTCATTTTCTTTTTTAACATTCTTGTAAAATAACTATAATTTCTTTTTTGTCATTTCATTTTTGCTTTTTTACTCTTTATTATAGATGAATTTCGCAGTAAAGTCGCTTGTGAGAATGATAATATGCAATTGGTTTGTAATCCTTATTCAAGGATAGCAATATATAGTGCTAGTTTTGGTCGTACGCAATACGAAAGTGTACAGTGCTCTCAGCCACATGATGCCAAAGAAGAAAGTAAGTTTAAATAAAATTTAAATGAATATTTAATAATTTTTTTTTTTTTTTATATAAGATAAAAAGAAGATGTTGAAGAAAATATAATAAAGTCATTTTAAATTTTATTAAATAAAAAAAAAAACAAACAAACAAACAAGCAAATATAGAAAACTTAATAAAATGAGTTCTTAGAAAAAAAAAGAGAAAATAAATTTTTTAAAAATAAAAATAAATTATATTGTATTATGTCACTTAAATATTATAAAATTAAATTAAAAGGATTTGCTTGTTAAAGAACCAGAAACCGAGGAAAAAATTACAAAACTAACAAAATTATACAGAAGGTTACCTTTAGTTTTAAAATTAACTTTTAAAATTTAACTTTCGAATCGATAACATACTTTTGTATGTCGGTTAATTTAGGAAAATGTGTGGCGATAACGAAAAATTGTGAAAAATTATGTGAACTTTCAGTGCGCTCAAATAATTAAAAGTTCAGACGTGAATTTACTTTCGATATTCATTACCTTAGTCTGCATTATGTTTAATTGTCAACCATGCCTCAAATGAAACATAACTTTTTTTAGGAAACTTTTTTTTTAAGACATTTTTTCACAAAAAAATCTCATGGAATCGATTCTTGAACACGTCAGTTGACTATATTAGCTATATATTTTAAGAAGCTTTTCAATATTTCTTTTAGAATAACTGATTGATCATTGAACAAATTTTATGATTATATCTGCCAGAATAATTTCAAACATTTTATATAGAAGATAATTAGTAATTACAAAAATCTTATATACGAAAAAAAAAGCAATTTTGATTTAAATGTAAAATATACATGCTAATTTTAGGAAAAAAAGCATTGAATAGTTCATGGAACTAGTGTTTAATGCCATATATATTTAAAAAAAAACCAAGAAATAATGAAAACTAAACAAAATATAATATATGATTATGCTAGAGTTAATAACAAAATCTCAATTTCACTGTGATCAAAATGTAAAAGCCAATATTTTACTTTACTTAGGAAAATGTTCTTACGCCTAAGTAAACGTATTGATTCAGGTAACATATTAAATAAACGAGAAAACACAATATCGTAAAAGTTCTGATAGTTTGTAGTTCAAAATGCTGGAGTAATTACAAAGAACCTTTGATAAGAACACAAGCCATAGGCATTAGAAGTCCTACTATTAAGATAGCCACCTCTCGTAAAAAAATTCTTCAATACTTTGTAATAATAATAGCTGTCTAACTGGAAGAATTTTTAAAGATCTAAACAGTTCTATGCCATGAGAATATCTATTCATGTCGCATATATTTCTGATGACAGATTTTTACAATATTAAAAGAAGGTTAATTTTGTTAGTGTAGGCGTCCTTCCAGCAACTCATGCCGTACTGCAACTTAGAATGAAAAACACCGTAGTAAAACATTTTAAGCACGTCTACTGAACATAACTTCTTCAATTGATAGAAATATCTTGATGTACAGAGGAAATAATATGATTTCAACTTAGAATTATGTTGCGACCAATTTAATTTTCTATCGATAATGACACCAAGATACCTGAAATTTTCAATTTTTTCAATACAAAAACACCAAGGACTGCAAATGAATATATCACCTGAATTCACATTAAGCTCCTTATATCCAACAAAACGCCTTCAATTAGAATCATGAAAAACAAAATCTACATCAGGATTGTCCTGTTGAGTGAGGTTAAAAAACATTAATTTAGTAGTTATTTAAATAAGACTATTTGGTAACTTCAATCTATGCGCAGGAAAAATATTCTTCTAATTCTTTTCCTCTGGTTTTAATTTTTTGGATCTGGTTTATTAAACTCACATAATTTTCAGAATTTTTCATGAACCAAATGCTGTACAAGAAATGAGAGAACATAAAACTAAGTTGAATGCTAAAATCAATTCATTAAAATTGAAAAAAAATTCCATTATAATTTTCGGCTCTCTTAATATCCAAATTTTTTGTGCTTAATTTCTAAAAATAAATTTTTCATGTAATTTTTATAATTTTAATCTGTTCATTAATAAAATTTCTGAGCGGAGACCTCTTTATTAACATTAATGAAAATTTTTATTTACAATAAAAAAATAAAATGAAGAAATCCTTAACATTATTCAAAATATACAATAATATTATTTATATAATGTGTGTATGCGTTTGTATATGGATGTCAAATGAAAATGACTCCCTACCGAAACCACATTGAAAATAATTTAAAAAAACAAAAATCCTTTTGTTAATTTTTGTAATGTTTGTGTTTTTACCCATTCTGGTTATTGTTAGTTGATATTGTAGGATTTTAAAATGATTATTAATTTTACTAATATATATATATATATATATATATATATATATATATACATAAGTATATATATTTACATTTTTTCTTATATAATTTAATTTTATTTTATTATTTTTTATTTTTTGATATCCCTAAAAATAACAACAATGACAACAAAGGCTGTCTAGCCTCATGGGCGACTGAAACAGTTATGCAAATATGTCATGGACGGAGGCGTTGTTCTCTATCAGCAGATGTATCAACATTTGGAAATCCTTGTAGATCCGAAGCAAAAATGTATTTAAAAGTTGTTTATACATGCAGTAAGTATATATGTATATACATATATTATTTAAATTTGGAGAGACGTAAATTATTTTTAAAATAATAAAAAAATAAATTTCTACATCAATTACAATTTAAAATCTTTAGCATTCCATCACTTTCTTCATCAATTATTAGAATTATTTTGTTAATATTATAATTAATATTAATTTACTGAAAGACTATATAATAATTTTTTGAACAAAAGCGATAGTTATTTTTGTCTTACACGATTAGTCGACAATAAAATAACTGTGTTACTGTATTCAACATTGTACTTTGTTTAAAATATAATTTGCAAGTAAATATTTAAGTGTGACGGGACTCCATTGGGGTTATACACTGGCCACTTTCGCTAGTGTTAAAGTTTTGGTATTGCCGTAGCGCCATATTTCGACTAATAAGCTGAAGTTTTTTAAAAATTGACTTAGGTCTTTAACATTTAAAAATCGCTAAGTTTGTTGTCCAAAGTGAAATAAGCGAAATTGATGTGAGTAGTTGGCTAGTACCGACCATATGAACCACTCAGAATTTTTTTTCGTTGGTATTCCGTTTTTATTCACCAATTAAGTAACCTCCTGTTAGGAGCCCCTATAGAATATAAGCGGTATTCTTCTATTGACAAGATAGATACAAGATGCTTCGGGCAACATAAATTTAGCATTAGTCGAATACATTTTCTTGCCACTTTTCCTCCATGTTATTCTGAAAAAATATTTAAAAATTTTTATTACTTCAAAATTTTTTTTTAATAATTTATTTTTTTTTTTTTATTTATTTACAATTTTCAGTACCACGTAAAGTATTAAAAGATCGTTATGATACAACGCCAGAACCAGATGAACCTCAACAAGCTGAATTAGATTTAGATCAAGATGAATTATATGATGAAGATCAATTTTATAAGGAATCAGAAGCAATACCACCAGCACCAAAATTACAGGGAGGATTACCAAATAATCCAGTTGGTCATCCGTTAGATTTTCCATTTTCGGAAATATCACAGAGTACTTTAATACCACCATTATTAAAACGTAATGATAAAACATTAGAAGGTAAAGAAATAATAATTTTTTTTGCATTTAAAATAAAATTTTAATATTTTAAAGTAAAAAATTTTTATAGTTAAGCATACTTTAAAACTGAGAAAGTAGAGCTATTGCAAATATTCTCTCGTTATTTTTCTAATTGAAGAAAAATTTATAAACTAAATTCATGTTCCTCATCTGTTTAAAATTTCCTGTGAAATGAAATCTTAAGTAAATCCTTAAATACGAAAATAAATTTCTTTCAGTGTTGAATTTCATTTATTCCTTTCGCATATAAGAGTATCTTCTACTCACACTTTTTTTCTCTAAAATTTGAGTGTACAGCTAGATATATAAAATAATACAATCAACTAAATAATTTCTGAAAACGTCTCGACTATTCTAATAACCTTAATGAAAAAAAAATACTGCAGATATGAAAATTCATAGCTATTCGCTAGCCAAAAAAAATAAAAAAAATAAAAAACAAAAAGTTCATGTCATGTTCTCACGTACAAATAAAACTTAGTTTTATAACACCATTTCTGTTTTTTTTTGTATTTTTATTCATCAGTATACCAGAGTATAAGGGCACAGACTAATAACAAAAAACCTAAAAAAAAAAATCTAAATTGGATAAGATTTAATACAATAGAAAATGCTATCTCTCTTTATTAGTGTTTTTGGTATATTGAGATAAAACTGCAGTTTTGTAGTCTATTTATAATTCTCGTACAATATTACTCAATATGTGCGATGAGTGTAATGCTACTCCTGTTTTCTTCTACCACATAAACCATATTTCATAATCTAATGTTTTAGAGTGGCAGGTATATTTACCTTTGTATGAAAATAGTTGCATAGCGGAACCACAGAGGGGATTGTAAAAAAAATTTTCCACTGAAAATGTAGTTGAATGATAAAAAGGAAAAAATTTCGAAATTTAAATTTTATTTTTCCGATCTCCGACCCCCTTCCCCCTATACGAAAATTTAAAAAATACTTTTCATTCGCTGCTACAATAGAAAAACACCGTTGCATAAAAATTAAAATTATACATTCAAAAAAGTAACAAAAAAAAAAATAAAATTATCATTGTATTTTTATGTGCTCTATTCGCGTCATAAAAATTCTAATGACCTCCCAGGTGTTGAGATGATTTTGGGTTTTAGTTTTATTTTTCTATAATTTTTGTAGAAATCCATATATGTATGTACATATATGCAGTTGTGTGTATAGGAGTGTCTTTCATTTGTGATGAAAGAATAAATTACGATTGAGTGACATGTAAAATTTATGGAAATTATTGCAGTTATACTTTAAAATAATCGCTCAAAGATATTATGTTTTATGAAAAAAATTAAATAGAACTACATAAAATACAATGAAATCTATATCTGGAATATATAGTAAGAGATGTAATCTAAAATTCTTAGTTGTTAGACAAAAATGTAAACATGAACGTATTTGAATTAGACGGTCTTAAATTATTTAAAAGTATGATATCAAGTTGACATGATAATTAAAAAAATTTTGAATGAACCGAATAAATTCACAGGGTCGTCAAAATTGATTTTTCTGGATAAACGTTGAACTACTTCTCCCTTACTCACTGTAATTTATAATTTAAAATATTAGTTTGTTTAATATGTTAACAGCTGTGTAATATGCGAAAAAATCTAAGATTATATTTACGACAAAGTCTGATGACTGCTTACATATTATGGTACGACTGATATCATGACTGGATAAAATCGATTGATGGCTGGTCAAAAACTTTCGCAAAAAACTGATTTAATTTTAACAAATTTTATGAGAGTTACTGCTATTACCTGCTGTCAAATAAAATGTAATGTTAAATAGGCTTTATATATATACGACTTTCATCAGATCCAGATTAAAACCATAGATTTTATATGATTTTATACGTAAAAAGTGCCTAACATTTTGAAATTTAAAATTTCATAGAGAAAACATTTCGATTAGATTTCAATTATGTATATACACTTTAAAGTTGAGCCACAAAGGATATCAAAACAAATTAGAAGAGCAAAACAGAAAGAAAATCCAAAAAATAAAATACAAATTAAAAAAACTTTAAATGATTCCTCCCTTATCCCCCCACCCCCCCCCCTTTTTAATTTATTTCAAACGTTTGACATTAAAGATATTCTATATCTATAATAAATACCCTCGAACAGTTAATCTATTTCAAATAACTATGTAATTGCTTACATTATCTTAAAGTTCAACTTTGTTATTATTTAAGTTAAGTACAAAATCCATAAAGTAACAATTTTCAAGATTATTTTCATTGCTCTTTTCTTTGAAGGAAAATCTTCATGTTTCAATTCGATATTAATGGCAAAATTGATATGTGGCAAATTGTTGAAATACAAGGTTTTGTTTTACTAATAACGCAAAGTTAATGAGTCAAATCGCGAACAGTTATTAGTTATCAATTATTAATAAAATATTACAAAAATCCTAGTCTAAACACAACTCTTATTATTGCCATACTTACCATATAATTCAGTCAAGTTAAATTTTGAGTTATTCTTTTGATTTTAGTACAATTGAATCCATATTATTCATCGCTACGTTTTGGATAATTGAAAGGTCGGCAAGTCATTACACAAATTTTATTGCATCCCTTGATTTCTTTAAAAATAGCTTAGTTGAAAAGTTTTTTTTGAGATTCTTTTAAGTTTTTGTAAAAGGTACACACATATTCGTATAAGATAGGAACGATAGAGTAAATTAAATTACAATTTTATTTTTTTTTTTTTTGTTTATTTGATTTTTCACAATATTTTTGTATAACAATATATATTGTTCAGTTCATGTTATCTCAATGCATATGTGTGTATCCTTCACACGAAAACTTGATTCTTTTAAGTGAAATTTTTTCAAATAAAAAATAGAAAATTCAATTTTAATAATAACCAAAGATAAAGAAAAATTTTACTACAGAAATTTTTCAACTTTTTTTTTAAGCGTACCTATTAAATAAAGTTTTTCGTTCATAACACAAATTTAAATTTAATTTTTAGTAATTTGACTGCGTTTTCACTTCACAAAATATTTTATTCGTCATATTTTTGCACCATATTTTGGGAAACATCGACTCTTACTTCGCGTAAACGTAGTATTAAAGGAGTAGCTATTGCAAAATTTTGATTTGTAACATTTGAAACTCAGGGAGAGTACGCCATTTTATTGTGCTCTCACCTTTGACCCGCCTTCTTAGGTTCTATATCTCTGATTTAGGTTAACCATTGTCGTTCTGAATGTTTATAATTTTACGAAATAATTTTGTTGAACAAAAGCAAGCAAAAATCTGTAATTAAGTTTTTTGCAGTTTATAAAATACCGAATGCAGTATTAATGCAAATTTTCAGTAGATACTAACACGACTCAATTTAAATATTGTTGACTATATTCAAAGTGAAATCTTAATATATTGTTTAAGTTTATTAAATTTCTGAAAAACTAAAATTTATACACATACATTCATTTGTGAACATACTCGTATAACGTTGTCAATGTTTATGCTGGTACTCATAAAATATGCATTATTTTCGATACTTAAACTTTCTATACATGTACAATGAAATCCTTTTATCTTATATAATACTATAGGTACTCTAATATATTGCAGATGAACATTTTATGCGTTTATGTTAAATAAAGATATCGTAGAAAATATGAATATTTAAGTTTAATGATAAAAATCTTCATTCGATGTATTTTAAAAATAAAAATGTATGTTATAACACTGAGTTTATTTTTATAATATTTTAGAATCTTTGAGATGAGTACTAGCAAAAAAAAAAATTATCTTATTTCCTTTCAAGAAAGTAATAAAAAGGACATCATGTATTCCTTTTTATATATGTATATTTACTGTTATTTTCTTTTCTTCCCTTTTCTGATAAAAAAATATTAATAATTCAAGAAAGAAAGGGTTGTTATTATGGTTCAATGTGCACTATTATAAAAATCTTATGCACAATCTTATTGTGTAATAATAAAGAGAAAATTTTTAACCCTTAGTATTACTTGAGTGCAAAAAAACAAACGGTAACGAAAAAAAAATAAAGGAAATTTTTTAAGATAATTGAAAAAGGAACAACAACAAAAATGTAAGAATGTAACAAGAATGTGTTCAAGCGAATAACAATAAGAGAAAATTGTATTTTATGACTGCTTGTCGTTATACCTACTGACATTTAATTTTATGGAAAATGATCAACAAGTCATGACCTGAATACTAAAAATAAGTACCTAGATATTTTGATTTTATCTCTTACATATATTAATATTATTTATATAGCTATATGTACATGGATATAGGGGCACCTATATCTATATTAAAGAAAATTATATCAAATATGGACACATACATGTATACATATTTAGAAGAGATGATGATGGTGACAAGACAAGGATTCATGATGATAAAAATATAATTATATTATTATTATGTAAAATATATAAAAATTTTATTTTAAAAAATATGGTGAAGGAAACATGTACCGCGTTAATCGGGGTGATCATATTATGGGTACAGCCAGATATAAACAACAAGCTTATATGCAATTTAATTTTTGTATATTTTTGTGCTATTTTATAATAGTGAAATTATAAATTATATTAGGTATACTTTAAAGAATACGTCTACATGCCGTATCTTTTAAAAATCAATATTGCTGATATTAGAATAATAATAATAAATCATCACTTAGGAAAAGAATTTAGGCAAAGAATTTAATATTATAGATTTTGTTAATATTACGATTTGGAATTTATTTCGAGGAATATTCCATAAGAACTTTAATTTTTTATTTCTAAATCTAAAGCGGTCGGGATTATGAAATTGCTGATTATCAGGGATGTATTGAGTTCAAAATTGGAAAATACAAAATTTGGAAATTTATGCAGTAATGAATACCAACTAAATTAATTAATTACAATACTTATTACTTCTTTCTTCCTTACATATTATATTAAAAAATTGTTGGTTGACTAGTTTGTTCTTGGTATTGGCACTATGGGGCTGATTAGTGAATAGAAACGGGTATATTAGCTCAGAATTTTTTAGCCAACAAAATCATATTAGTTCTTAGCATTAAATGAATGCTTATATTTCGAGACCTTATAATTCTTGATAGTTTGACTAATGACAAGGAAACACATACTAATGACTAATGGAATACATCCTGTTGTGTAATAAAGATGATTTTTACAAGTATAAAGTATTTTATTTCAAATAAAATACGAAAATAATTTCGTCATAATATTGAGTAATATTATAGTTTCCTTGAATATAAATTGTTATACAAAAAAAAACACAATATCCTTAATGTTCTGCATATTAAGTTCTTTTTCCTTGAAAGAAAAGAAATCAAATTGAATAATACTACTTACATGTATTTGATCTCGAATTCATGAAGGTGCCAATATTGAAATCAATTTACATTAATGGGTGTGTATTTTCAAGCCTCCACAATTGTTTTCTTAATTTTTTCTACTAGTTGTGTGTAATACTCACAAAAAATTAATTATTATTATGTAGGTGCTTCTAACCATTAATTTCAATAAAATATTGCATAAATGCGAATAGTCATTTCAAATGAATTTTGTTTTCTTTACTTAAAATTATCATAATAGTTATTGTATGTATGTATATATATATGAACTCCTTGTATACTTAACCTATAATAGAATCAACTGGTAATGGAATTAATAATATGTATGATACAAGTAAACAGTATGGTATGCAATACAATATTATTGAAAGAATTATTCAAGGTAAGGAATCAACAATAGAAGAGGAGGGATCTGAAGAAAGAATAATAAATGAAAATATTCATGGACCAGATGAAAATGAAATAAAAGAATTAGAAAAAGATGAAGTAATTGGATTTATTGCAAATTGGATTGAAACATATATTTTCATTAGACGTAAGTTTATTGTCTTTCAAAAAGCGTGTGATCTTTTCTTTAACGAACTCTACGTGTGAAATAGTATATACTTACCTACATCTATGTATTATAATATAACCAAATGGTATAATAGAAACTATATAAGTACAAATTTGTACAAAGCACCGCATTATATAGTTAGTTAACTCGTTAGTTAGTATGTATATTGGAGTGGGTCGTTCTATTTAGGATCAAAATTAACTTTGATAATATTATATTTTAGTAATCTTTGTCATGGACAAACTTGTTTCTGTTCAGGAATGTTTTTGAATATATCTCATACATACATAATATCAGTTTAAATATGTTACTGTTGGCAAACATAACTTACGTAACGTAACGTAACGTAAATTAACATAACGTAAAATAACCCAATACAACGCAATGTAACATAACATAACTGATAAGACGATGTAACGCCAGCCAGAGCAACATAAAGCAAGATAACCCAATTTTTTCTAAAATAATTCAAGATTAATAACAGAGAATGCGGTTGATCTGTAAACAACTGAGGCTGCTTGTTTATTGTAATTCCAGATCTTCTTCAATTTAAAGGTTTACATGTGTGTGAAATTGAAAAGCAAATATTGCTTTCGAAATATCAGTATTATTCCACCTGCCTCTAGGAAAGTCGTTAATAGATTCTCAGTAATAAATCGTGCTTATATTTTTATAATTAAATAAAAGAAAATGGGAAAATTGGTATGATGTTGACATTCGTGAGAAACGATTTTTGCAAATCAAAATAATCGATTAATAAACATTGATAATTTAATTTTTTCCCTTAAAAATTGGACATTAAAAAAAAAACACCTTTACGATAAAATTTAGTGGTCCACCCTAATATACATACAACATACATACATGCTTAGAGTGGAATGGTAGTGGTATAAATGTGTGCTTTAGTTGATATATTCAGGTTTTTGATTTGTTTTCTTCTTTACCGTGTGGTGATGGTGATGTTGGTTTTACTTAAACTTTCTTAATAATTCTCTCCTATTCCTATTGTATAACATGTTTTGAGAAAAAATTATACAGTTACACAAAGTTTTTGTTGTTTTTGTTACCATTATGCTCTAATCCAATTATTTTTTATATCAATTATTCTCAATTTTCGTAATTGTTTTTCCCCCTGAAAGAGAAACATAATAAAATCGAAGTGCATAGAATAATCGATTCAAAAAAAAAAAAAATGAAAGGGTGTTGCCATTATCACTAATTCACAGATTCTGCCATGGAATTTGTCTTGATTAGTTTTTATTTGTTTTTTTTGCTTTTTGCTTTGCAAATTTTTTTTATAAAAAAAAAATGCATGTGTTTGTAATTTATTTTGTTTGATCCTTTTCACAGAGTTTTTTGCTTTTTTTTTTTTGTTTCATTTTTCATTTTCTTTTAAGTTGTATTTTAATTTATTTTCCAATTTAAAATGTAAGGTTATTTTTCTTTTAAACTAAGTTTTTTTTTTGTTTGTTTTTTGGTTTTTAAATCAAAATTAATTTCTTTGCAGCATGAAACACGCGTTATTGTTTGAATACTAAGGAAAAAGTAAATTGTAATTTAGTTTAGTATTCAAGAAGTGATGTTTTTCTCTAACAATAATTTTATTCTTAGATTTTTATTAGAACAGTGCATATTGAATGAATTCGTTCAGCGAATTGGCAGCATTAATTTTCATGCTGGCAATATGAGAGTAGACCTTTCAAAGTTCTTTATACGAAAACGATCTGCTTTTTCCAGTGTTGTCACAATCGCACTGTATATTTTCATATCTAAGTAAGATCTGTCAACATGAACTCAACCAAATATTTATTGTTCCGGAAATCTTATTTCCTGGTCCCACAAATTTAAGACTTCGTTAACACTCTTAATTTTGTAAAATTATATGTTTTTTTAAATAAACATTTACCACCAACTTTATTTAACACAATAAATTGGAATTAGAATGGAATATAGCTCTCTCTTTCGTAGTAGGAGAGTAGCAAAGGTCTACTAATGTATAAATTTTAGAGTTGTGTGAATCCCATTTTTGTTTGTTTTTTGGTTCTAATAACTTTGTTTTTATGAATCCGTTTTACAAAAATATCCATAAAATTCCCCTACACTATCATTTATTAAATAGGGCTTAAATATAGGTTAAAGCCCACTGAAGGTAGAAAAGAAAATTTAATTACAATAACAAAAAAATTTTAGATAGCATTTACCTATATCATATCCGCTTACATCTATATCACTTAAAAAATCACCATCTTATAAAAAGCATTGTTGTGTCGATGTTAATTAAACCTTTTTGCACATCTACAAATATAAAGATTGGTAATAGCTACAAATAGGAAATTAATACTTACATAACCTCATAATTTCAAATAAAATTGAAATGGTTTTAATTATTCAATCACATACGATGAAAATTATGAATTCTTTGTGATTTACTTACAGCAGTGTTTCTATTTTCGTAGTTCAAGCATTCATATTGATTTTTCCTATATATTAACAAAACAAAAAGTAATCGAAATTGGTATCAACCTATATTATTTTGCTTATAAAATGTGACAACATTTTTTATATTGCACAATTATAATCTACATGTTTGTTTATTTGTATTTATTTTTAATTTTCCAGAGAATCAAGAACGTTTCTATTTGTACATAATAATCTCTGTATCGGCTGGTATTTTATTATGTTTAACATTAGTTATTGGTCGAATGATGGTTCATAAAAGAAGAATACGTAAAAATAGTAATGCAAGTAGTAATAATAAAAGCGGTAGTATTGATGGTACCAATAATCCTGGTGGTAAATTTCAAAAATCAACAACTGGTGAAACACAAATACCAAATGGTTTTAGTGATGATATATCAGAAATTGATGCTGATATTGATTTAACAACACCGATACCAGTGCCAAGTTTATCATCTAGAAATGAGGTATTAAAATATTATTTGAAAAAAAAATTTACAATTTTATTAAAATCTAATAATTTCATTTCATTTATATCTTAAATTGTATTTTTTAATTAAACGAAAAAAAAATCAACAGAGTTATATGACGTATGTGCCAACAACAAATTGTAATTATACTGGTATTCCACCACCATCAAGTATGAGTGGGCATACATCAATAGCAACAACAATGTTAATGCCATCTAGTGGTTTGGTTGTAACATGCCCTGGCGGACCAGGTGGTAGACAACCAACTCCTACTCCACCAAATTTAATCGGTGGATTACCTGTTAATTGTAATAGTATGGGTGGTAAGTGTTCAATATTTTCAATTTGGTAAAAGTAAATTTAATTCTTGTACGGTGGTCTATATTCATGGATAATAGTATGGGTCATCATTGTTATAGTTTATCTAAAAATTAAAAAAAATTTCTACGTTTCTTTTAAACATTAATTATTATTTTTTTGTTTAACAAAGAAATTTACAATGTAGAGTGTTGAAAGAGCGATAGGGATGCATTAAAATTACTTTTCTATTTTATTTATTTTTTTTGTTCAAATGATTGTTCTTTACAATAATTAACAAAGAAAGTAATATCGAATGAGGGTATTCAGTTATTGTTATGCTCTATATTCGGTACAATAATCAATCAGGTCTTTTAAGTTGAATTGAAATTTATTAACAACTGCCCTACTAAACCTACACGTTTGTAAAATAATCAGTGACACATTAACCATCTACATTCACACTTATTTTCGTGAAATACTTTACTCACACTGGGGTCTACATGTCCTAAAAAGCATTTTAAGACTATTTTTTGAGTATTTCCGTGAAAAGTTACTTACCGTTAAATTTTTTATCGTAGACTAATAATAAAAAAGAAAATTTACATATATTTGTACTAACTTTGAAAGATAAATCAATAAATAAAATTTTGTTTGGGGTCTATCAAACCCCAGTGTAAGTATTCCGGGTTAATAAAATTAAATAATTGACAATTGTGAGTATAACGGAAATTAATCGAAATTTTTATAGTTTTTAAATTGTCTTAACCCTAAATCTTAAATTTCTTTCGATTGACAATACTTTTTAATGAAATTCACATAAGAATCAGTCTAAGCTTCAAACCTTAAACAAGTATAAATAAAAACAAAAGTATAAAGGGGTTTGAATCCAAAATCATTCACTTTGGGCCTATCATACAATCTTACCTTTTTCTTTGAAGTTCATTTTCTGGATTATTCTTTATTAAAGAGGCGATTTTCTTTATAATTGGCCCCGAAAATTAAAATTTTTATGCGAAAGTATTATTAGAAGAAATCACGATGTTTCTATTATTCCTAACTTTTTTGGAATTTTATAATTTTCTCATCTAATATTTCAATTGAAATTTTTTTGAAAATAATAGTATGGTTAACGAATTGCAATTTACATCATCAAAATACAAAATTTATATAGTTTTAAAAATGGATACAGCTATAAAATTTGAATATGAAAAATTATTCAGAAATGGCGAAAGTCCTTCAGGCTTGAAAAACCAAAAAGCTTTAGGGTGTCGGTAAAAAAATCTTTTTTTATAATATCAATTTGAATTCTTTTTTAAGCATTCACTTTTTGAATTCGTTTACAAACTTGTAAATATTTATTATTCAACTACAATTACTATTTTATTGAGTCCTCTTATTTTCTTCGGGAGTAATTTTGATTTTTAGCTTGTGGCAATATAAAAATTTTTTACTTTCATGTGAATAAGTACCCAAACGCGTCCACACTTTTTATGTGGCACAATTTTTTTTTTATTTTTGTCATTTGAACAATATTTGTACAATTGTGCCTAATATTTTATGCAGTAAAAAAATTACATAAAATCAGCGTTTTCATTGCTTTTTTATTTGAGAGAACTATTATTTTAATAATATGGGTTTCACATGGATAGTATCCTTATGATACAGACACTGTTTCTTGTTTGCGGTCCTTTTTATGTATTTGATGTTTTATACACGTATTTTTATTCTATCGTGATATTTACATGTTATTATTGTTTTGTCATGTAAAAAATATCTTTACATTAGCTGCTAACGTGTGTTAAAATTTTAAAGGCCTACACAGGAAAGTAAATCAAAAGAACATGTAGTTTGTAAGGATAGAATTTTAAGTATGCAAAATTGAAAAATACAGAAAAAAAAATAATAAAGAATTTGCTAAAGTATGTTTTTTTAGGATAAAATTTTTATAATAATTTTAAAATTTATGAATTTTCGCATGATTTATTAAGAATTTTATAAAATATAGGCAATAGCTATTTCACTATAAAATTTTATTTACGTAATTTATTCATTTTATTCCGAAAATGAGAAAAAATTTCTATACTTCGCTCTATATGAATTGGTTAATAATTGCAAACGTGTAGGTTGAACTCTCAATTTTATAACAGTATATAATTTTGTATACTGAAAAAGGAAACTAAAAACTTTTCATTTTGTAAAATTATAATAGCAAATTTAATTTGCAAAATATTTATATTTACGAAATTTAAATATTTTTCCTTTTCTTTCAATAATTCAAATAGGTGCATTGTTACAACCATCAACAGGAATCAGTTCAGTATCGCATCATACTGGAGCACCATTACCGTCATATCTAATGATGGGACCAGCACCACATCATGCTACATTACGTCGAACAATGCTTCCTACTAGTATAGGATATATAGCAGCACCATCTCCACCATTAACTAGTACTGTTGGTGGAAGTGTTTCTGTTGGTCCACTTGGCGTTAGTGGTTTACCGACACAACAATATCCCGGTACAGCAGTATATTTTGATGGTACGATACCAAGAAATATGGCACGTGGTTCATCAACAACCAGTAGCCATCCTAGTAGTGATAGTACACATTATTATGGATGACATTCACTATCACGTAAACCATCATTACCGATGGCAATTGTTGGAAGTTGTTTACCATCATTAACTTCATCATCATCATCATCTTCAGGGAATACAAATTCTGTTGGTGGTGGTGGTAATTGTACCCCAACATCATCAATGTTACCACCATTACCACATCATCAACATACACAACAATTAAGACAGACTGCTAGTGGTACAATACAATCACCGTTATCAGTATCAGCTGGAACACAATTAAGTGGGACAAGTGGTGCAGCAACACAAACAACAACATCACATTTAGTTATACCAACGGTGACTGCCAATAGTAGTAGTATTAGTAATAATCATAGTAATAGTAGTACAACATCATCAAATCAAGTTGGTGGTATTAATCCAGCTGCTGCTGGACCATTGGCATTAGTTAATCAACAACATTCTGTTAAAATAATATCAAAACAACAACAAGCACAAGAACAACAACAAAAACAGCAACAACATCAACAAGATGATAAATCAAGTGGAGTAGGGGTTAGTAAAGGTTCAATATTAAATACAAAAAGTTCACAAACTCAACAACAACAACAACAGCAACAACAACAAAATAATGGTAATAATAGTAATCAAAATAATAGTTCAGTACAAGTGTGTTCAAGTGGGAGAACTTATTGTTTCTAGAATCAAATCTTATATAAGGATACAACATTTAATATATCAAGTGATGATGATCTAGTGTACTTGTAATAAAAAATAAAAAAAAAAAACAAATAAACAAATAAAAACAAATTAACAAAAGGCTCGTTTTATATTTTACACATGCACATACAAAAATTGTAATATATTTGATATAAGTACATGGAGTACATATGTAAATGTATAGGACAAACGTACATATTATGCGCATATTAATGATATAATATGTAAGTTCTAATTTCTTCAAATATGAATTTGCATTTTATGTATTAGGAACTGTTCAATGAAATCAAATTCAATGAAATTGATAATTCAAGTAAATTATTCGAACATGGAATGTGTAATGGAATGAAACTTTTTGAAAATAAGAACAAACACAATATAAGTACTATTATATAAAATTTGCAGAGAATAATGACTGACTGTATTTAATTTCTATATATATATATATATAACTACATATTATATGGATTTAAAAGATAAAATCTTAAAATGTAAAATTTAATGTTATAAAATAAATTAAATAAAAAAGAGTAATAAAAATTATAATACAATAATTACTTGGAATTGACACAAAAAAATTTAAAATTGTAAATATATTGAAAATAATTAAAAAAAAAACCATAACGAATCGAAATACAATAACTGCCCACTACTTCGCTCAAAAGAATATCGAACTCTATAGTAGCAAAATTTTGCATAAATTTTAATTTATTTGTGTAGATATTTAAAAAAAAACAAAACCAAAACTATGTAAAAATTAAAAACGTGATAAAATTATAGAAGTTTAATTTAAAACCAAAACCCAATTAAAAAGTGAAATTAAAAATTAAATAAACGAAATTAAAAAAAAAAAATCAAAAAAAAAAAAAAACAAGCAAACCCAAAATTATCTGTAAATTCGTATTTTTCATTTTTTAATTGTAATTTTAAGGGAAGAAAATAACTTTAATTCCGAAATATAGCGGAAAATTTAATTTTTTCAAATTAATTAGAATTTACCTAAAATTATTTAGAATGAGCTGAAAAATTTATTTGGAGTTCATTATTATTAAATTTCAATTTTGGTATTTTGATAGCTATTATTTTATAATTCTAATTGCAAATTTTTAATTAAAAATTCATTTTTGATTTTGACACGCGCTATAAAATTTTTTCTTGCATTGCAAATGTATTTCAAAAGAAATTATAGAATTTGAGAAAACAGATGTCGTTGTTCTTTAGAAATTTCTCAAATTCATGAAGCATTTTTTTTTTTAAAGAATTGCGAATTCCTTCAAGATATTAAATTTTTTTTATCTTTGAATTAAATTTATTTTAAAAAGAAAATTAATAATATTCTGATTCAATAAAATTCTAAATTATTGTGAAAATTGTGAACAATTATTATATTTTAATTTTTTATTAATATTATACATTATATTATATTAAAAATAATTTCCGATTTTTTATGATTTTCAATTGAAATTCTTACTTTAAATTCAATTAAGGGGTGTGACGAAAGCAGTAACACATAAGCATACACAAATGTACACATTGGCATTTGATACAGTAATAAAATATGTAATATCTATGAGTAAGGTTTTTAAAATTACATTTGAAATTCAATATAATTCGGTTCTTAATTGATACTAAGCTACTTTTGAAAGGCAGAAGAAAATTTTCATTTATTAAGGTTTTTCAATTACGCAAGTATTTCAAGTACCTCATTCATTCTCAATAATATTAATGATAAATTTGAGCGTATTATGACTTTCATTTCGAAAAAAAAACGCAATAAAACTAAATTAATTAAGAAATATTTAAAAAAAATAACCAATAATCTGATGTGTATAGCTTTATATGGTGTAATATAAAATTTAAATCTATTGAAATATTTCAATTTGCAATTTAAACTCATCACGGCTGGGATATTTTAAAAAGAGCTTTGTGACTCCGATGGAGATCTGGCAACTTGAGGTTTCTGCTATTCTCCAATTTTTGTCAGGGGGCTATAGATATAGCACAAATAATGTAAGTGGAGATGACGACAGAGATGCTTTGGAAGGAGCTTTGTGACTCCCATGACGATCTCGCAGCATGAGGTTGTTGTTATTCTCTAATTTGTCAGGGGTCTAAATATACCACAAATGTAGATGACGACAGAGATAAGAAATCATTTATTTCTTATGAATGGAGTTCTAATAACCCATTTCTCTAATTTACGTACAACACATTCGGATACTTAAGCTACGTCTACTCTCAAATTTAAAATTAAAACATTTAAAATAAAATTTCGTTTTTAATCAAGTACTTAAATTGTTATTTAATAATAATTAGAAACCCGGTGGCACTCCAAATTTAAAAAAAAAAAAGTTATGATAGAAATACAAGACAAAATAGAGTGAAAATATTTATTAGATTAAAATACAAAAAAAAAAAAACAAAAACACTTTATTAAAATATAAAACATTTTATGAAATTGAAAATAGAAAAAAAAACAAAAAAAAATATAAATGAAAATTATTTATAGAACAACATTATAAAAATATAGTTTATAGCTAAATTATTTATATATATATATAAAATTATATACTTAGTATATAAATTATTAAAAAAAAAATAAATTAATTAATTGTTTAGAAATTATGATTAAATTAATTACTTAATTAATATTTATAGAAAAAATTAAAATTAATTATAAAAAAAGAAAAAAAAAATAAAAAAAAAAAAAAACTTACTCTTAAGAAAGTTTGTAAATCCTTTTTTAATAAAATTATATTAAGGTTATATACTTGCATATAAATATAATATATATATATACATATTTGTGTATGAATACATAATCTATTATATATATACATGTATATTTATATATTATGTAAAAATATTCACTATGTATAGTCAATACAGATCAGTTAGTGAAATTCACTCATATAAATATAATTAATAATAATACTCTTTATTTTGAAAATTTGTAAATTACAGTAGAATCTAAATTTAAATGAAACAAATCATAATATTAATATATGGATTACAATAATATTTTTAATTCCTTTTAATTATATTAAATTAATTAAGTTGAAATTTTATAATATTATCAATAATAACAGAATATAATCATTATCAAGTATAATTACCATACAATTTAGCTATTAGCTATGTATAATATTAAATTTTAGAAAAAAAATCTAACATAGTAATTTGAAAACCTTGAACTGAATTTCTAAATTATATTAACTAATTGACTTTTTAAAAAATTCATTTTCAATTTTAATTTATTTCAAAAGTAGCTAATGAGGAAGCAACTTGCGTGCTTAAGTTTTAATTACTCACGCGAACTGATTGGTCAAATAATTTTTCGTCCTAACTGTTTCTTTCAGAATTTTGTTGTAAATAAATTTATCCAGTGAGTTTTGGAGTATGCAGTTACTATCGAAATTTTCCAGTCAATATCGGACGAGTATATAAAGCGAGAAAATCACATGTGAATTCTCTTAAAAGTAATCAACTTTTCTAGTATAAATACGAAAAAAATTTCGACTAATTTATATTTTCACGTTTAGTCATTTATTATTCAAACATAATTTTCAATATTTCATGTATCAAAAAATCAAAAGGAAAAGAAGAAAATTTAAATTACAGTAGCAAAAGTAGTTAATTGATTAGATCAATGATTTATAAAAATAATATTACAATATTAATTTCAATCTGCTTTTTAAAATTGAGATGTCACATAGAGACATGGTTTAAAAATTTACGGGGTCTGCCAAATATTATTAGCGTTTGAAAATTTAATTTCATCGGAGAAATATTTCACCGGGAAAAAGGGAATCTTATCTTAATTATCACTTCTTATATAAAAATATTCATCCGATGACGTCAAATTCTTTAAAAATGAAGGCTGTTATCAATAATTCATTTAGCAGATTTCACAAATTTTTAGACCATGATGTAGAGGCTAGACAAAAAAGAGTAGATTTCGAAAAAGGTAGATTGTAATAGAATACAACAAAATAGCAACAGAAGCAAAACTTAATAATTATAATAAATTATTATTAAATTAGTAAATTATTCAATAATTTTAAAATTCCGTTTCATTGTGTTTAAGTTTGACATTGTATTTTTAGTTTCTACTGTAATCACACAAATAATTAAATTAAACAAAATTTGTATTCAAAAAAAAATATAAATTAAAAAAGTTAAAAAAGAGTAAACAAAAAAAAATAAAAACTTTAAATTAAAAAAAATTTATATAAGAAACAATTGTAGGTAATTCTATAAAATCCCAAATAAAAAAAAGAATAAAAATCAAAAAAAGTATATATATACATATATAATTTAAT